CAGATTCTTGTCCTTTTATTCATCTTGGAGTCCTTATTAGTCAGAATATGTCTCAAATTTCTGCTTGGTCCTCTATTGTTGATCGTTTTCGTGCAAAACTTTCGAGTTGGAAAGCGAAATGTCTCTTGTCTGGTGGTCGCCTATCTTTGATCAAGTCAATTCTTGGAAGTCTCAACAGTTATTTGATGTCTATCTTCATGGTTCCGATCTCTGTTGTTACCACTTAGGAGTCTCTTCGGGCCAGGTTTTTTTGGGGTGTTGATTTGGATGAGAGATGCATGCATTGGGTTCGCTAGGATAGAGTTGTAGCTCACAAAAAAAGAATGGGGGCTTGGTATTGGCGGTTTGTTTTCCTTCAACCGGGCTTTACTTTTTAGATGGCACTGGAGATTCTTTCATAACCCATATTTGATCTGGGTTAAAGTCGTCAAAGCTCTTTACGGGTATGATGGTGGTTGTAGCTCTCTTTCCTCGAGGAGAGGGTTGATAAGTCCTTGGAATGGTATTATTCGGATATTGGTCCAGCTAAAAAATTGTGGTCTAGATCTCTAGTCTTTTTGCCCTTTTAGGATTGGTGATGGGAACGTGACTTCTTTTTGGCATGATGTATGGAAGGGAGATGCTCCCTTGACTGTTTCATTTTATATGTTTTTTGCTCTTGATCCTCATAGATCTCTTTCGGTTCCTGATAGAGTGTTACTTGGATGGGACTCTGATTTTCTCAGACGGACTCCTAGAGGGGGCATTAAGCATACTCAATGGGTTGCTTTTAATTCCTTGATGCAGGATGTTCATCTTCATTCGATTCAGAACCATTTGGGGTGTACATTTGATGTTTCCGATTCCTTTTCTATTTCTTCAGCCAAAGTTTTTTTAGATAGTCATATGTTGTATATTGGCGGTTGTGAAACTCGATGGAATAATTGGGTTCTAATCAAGGTGAATATTTTCATCTGGAATTGTAGTTACGAAGTATTCCGACTAGAGAGAATCTTTCTCTCTGTGGGATTACTATGGATTCGATTTTATGCCTTGTTTGTTCTAATACCGTTGAGTCTATTGATCACCTTTTTGCCACTTGTAGCCAACTACTAGAGATATGGACCTGTGTTGCTATTTGGTGGGGCCTCCAAATTCCTCAACTTTGCTCTATTGATCATCTCCTTTCGTGGTCGGATTCTATTTCCTTAAAAAGTGGGCAACGCCAAGCCTTTGATGCAGTCATTTTGACTACGTTATGGTGTTTATGGAATTTTTTTGTAATTCTATCATTTTTGGAACGACTCAATCTAGGAAATCTTTTATTTTAGATGAGGTGATAGGTAGAACTTTTTTTGGATTTCCAATAGGTTTAGAAAAACTATAATTGGTTGGACCTCCTGGTTACATAACCCTCTTTTAGCTTGTAATTTGTTGTGATGACTTCATTTCTCTAACTTCTTACTAGTTTTCTAATAAAAGTTTTGTCGTTCAAAAAAAAGTGTTTATATCTTAATTTTAAGAAATATTTGTTTTTATAAAATTTTCGAAATTTTTTTAATCCAAATTCAATAAAACAAACGATGTAGTTATTTGTAATACTATTTTATTGAGTTTGTAGAAAAAAATCAAAAACATTATTGATAAGGATACAAACCTTTTTTTTTAAATAACTCTAACATTTTATAACAAATAAGACGTAAAAAGTTTTGGTTTCCAAATGAAAAATCATTTTAAAGATTTTATATATATATATATATATATATATATATATATATATATATATATAATGAATTTTTTGAAAAGAAATTTTTAAAAAAATAAGGTTGATTAGATATAAAACTTTATTTTAAAAGATTCTATTTTTTTTATAAAAATATTAAACATAATATAATCCTAATTAAGGCGATTCAAAATATTTATGATTAAAAAAATTATTGATTCAATATGTTTATGAACCTTAATTTGTTATTATCTAAAATATTTTGAATCAAATATTTTATGATCCTTAATTATTATATTATTTATGTTTCAAAATTAAATAATTCAAAAAATATAATAATTCAAATGTTGTATTGAACAAAAAACATTATTTAATTCAATTTATTATCATCCAGAATGATATGATTAAAAGTTATATGACTCAAAATATTATGGTTCAAAATGATATTATTTAAAATTTTATGATTTGAAATGGTATTATTCAAATTTTATGATTTGAAATGATATTATCAAAAAATAATATGATGTTTAATATAGAAAAATTAAAATGTATATAAAAAAACATACAAGAAACTTGAAAGAGGTATTAAAAATATTAAAAAATCAAAAAACAAAAACAAAAAATAAAAAAAAAAACGGAAAAATATAATAACTGAAAAATCAAGTATATGTTACTCTAAAAAAGTTTTTTTTAATATTTTATTTTAAAAAAATAAATAAAAAATTAAAAAATTAAAATATAGAAAAATTAAAGTGTATATATATATAATATATATATATATATATATATATATATATATATATATATATATATATAGGTCTGCCAATCGTGTCGTGTTCGGGTTGGCGTGTCGCGGGTTGGGGGGTCAAAATATGCCAACCCAAACACAACCCATTTAAATATACAGGTCACGGGTTGGCGGGTCACGGGTTGGAACATAAACCTATATATGACCCGCCAACCCATTTATTTATACGGATTCACAGGTTGGCAGGTTTGTGGGTCAGATTTGGGTTCGTGGGTCAGATTCCATAAATACAATTGACAATTAAAATGAATAAATTCTTGATGGTTGATGCAAACATATCCGAATTTTAGACACTTAAGTCTTAAACATCCAAGTGAAAATTAAAAACATTCATAGAAACATGTTCAAACTAAACTTTAATACAAACATAGATAATTGAAGTGCTAAAGTAATAGCCACAATTCCTATTTTTTTGTTCCAAAAAACAAAGTCAATTCTCCAACACCATTTCGATACCTGATTTCGATCACAGAGTAACGGAGGGGAGAGTGGGACTGTGGAAGATTGGGAGACTGGAGGTCTGGAAGAGGGAGATACGCTCATAAGCGATTTGATTTTGAGATTATTATTTAGGGTAAATGGGCAAAATGGTTATAGACTTAGCCTTACGGGTTACGACTTACGACCTTAGGCCATCCACCACGAGTCAAAATGTCAAAACAGTCAAATGGTCTATGAATTAATGGTATATATTATATAATACTTATTAAATATTAATACTTGATACATAAATATATTTAAAAATAAAATAATTTTTTTTATTAAAAATATAAACGGGTTGGCGGTTCAACCCGTTTATTTTTTGAGAAACCCATATATGACCCGTTTAATAAACGGGTTGGCGGGTTGGCAGGTTGAAAAACTCAACCTAAACCCATTTATTTCGTGTCGTGTCGTGGGTCGTATTGCGGGTCGTGTCGAGAATTGCGAGCCATATATATATATATATATATATATATATATATATATATATATATATATATATATATATATATATATATATATATATATATATATATATATATATATAGGGTGACGTTCAATAGAAAACCATAATTAACCAAGGAACCAATCGTGAGCATCGGAAATCATAACGATCAACGGCCAAGGAAATAGATGTACACTTTTACATTGGACGCACACACACCGGATTATACCAAAAAATCCACCCTTTACAAAAAAACTCACCACTTTTTTTCGTTTAAAATTTTTTTTAGGCCATGTTTTTTATCAAAAAAAAAAACCGAATATACCGTTGTTCACGATTTTTCGTCCTTTTTCCATAGAGATCCATGATAATATATAAAAAACGAACTTTTTTTTCGAAAAAAACCCACTTCATTTTCTTTAATGAAAAAAGTTAAGGTCTATTTTTTATAGAAAAAAATTAATAAATATATCAAAATTCATATTTTTGTACTTTTTAAACATAGATTCATATTCATGTTAAAAATAAAAATAAAATAAAAATAAAAAAAACGATATTTCAGTTCAGATTCACATTGTGAACTTGTTCAGATTCATATTGTAAACCTGTTCAGATTCACATTGTGAACCTGATTCACAGTGTGTATAATAATAAATCAGATTCACAATGTGAATCTGAACTGATCGGAGCTTTTTCACATTGTGAATGTTAAAATTTGAAATATTTACAGTTTAGATTCACAATGTGAATCTACACTGATCGAGTTTTTTTTTTTTTTTTTTTTTTTTTGTAAACCTTCTCATATTCACAGTGTGCATAATAGTCTTTCAGATTCACAATGTGAATCTGAACTGTTCGAGATTTTTCATATTGTGAATGTTAAAAATTGAAATATTTACAGTTTAGATTCACAGTGTGAATCTACACTGTTCGAAGTTTTTTTTTTAATCGGTATTGATGTTTATTAATAGAGTACAAAAAATTAATATCATGGATCTCTATGGACAGAGGACGAAAAATCGTGAACAACGGTATATTCATATTTTTTTTCGATAAAAACCTTGGCCTAAAATAAATTTTAAATGAAAAAAGGGAAGTGAGTTTTGTTATAATCCGGTACATGTGCGTCCATTATAAAAATTTACAACCCTTCCTTTTGCCGTTGATCGCTTTAAATTCCGACGCTTTGGATTGTTCCTTGGTTCCTTGAATAATAATGATTCTCTATTAAACTTTTTCATATATATATATATATATATATATATATATATATATATATATATATATATATATATATATATATATATATGTTATTTTAACTTTTTTTTTAAATATTTTAAAAAGAAATAGAAATAAATAAAAATAAAAAACAAACCAAATGCATATTCGTATTTAATATAGCCATAAGTGGGCTCCATTCTCTTCTTTCCATAAAGAAGATTACGACGTTGTCGGATAATTATCACGCTCCACTAGTTTCATCTATGGTGGAAACCAGCTATTGCTAGTTTTAATTCATCTTCTGCTCCTAAAAATTATAAAACTTAGTTTCATCTTTCATCATGTCCGCTGCTACAGGCCATGACACGGAATCTCAACCTTCTACCTCTTCCTCTGTAAAAATGGCACAACCATGCCGTCAGTTCGAATTTGCTGAGATTCTCTTAGCAACCAATAACTTTGACGAATCATTAGTAATTGGGCGTGGGGGGTTTGGAAAAGTTTACAAGGGTAACATTATTAACGGATCAAATGTTTCGGTTGCTGCTATTAAACGTTTGGATCCCATGTCTAGTCAAGGGGCATCAGAGTTCTGGGCGGAGATCGAGATGCTATCCAGTTTCCAGCACCCTCACCTTGTATCTTTGCTGGGTTATTGTAATTATAAAAAAGAGATGATACTCATCTACGAATATCTTCCCAATGGAACACTCGAACACCACCTATACAAACTTGGTACCCCTCTTTTATGGCTTTTGCGACTCAAGATCTGCATAGGTGCTGCTCGTGGGTTACACTACCTACATACTGGTACAGGGATTAATGTCGGGGTTATACATCGCGATGTCAAGAGTTCGAATATTCTGTTAGATGAAAGCTGGGAGGCGAAAATATCAGACTTTGGGTTATCTAAAATAGGTCCAACGAATCAGCCATTGACATATGTCGACACACGTGTTAAAGGCACTTTCGGGTATCTAGATCCTGATTATTCCTTTACTGGAAGGTTGACAAGGAAATCTGATGTCTATGCTTTTGGGGTGGTATTGTTAGAAGTTCTTTGTCGGAGACCTGCACTGGATTTGAGTCTTGATGAAGAGCAACATAATTTAGCAAGATGGGCTCAAGAATCTATCAAGGAAGGCAATCTAAAACATATAATTGATTCTGGTATAAGGGATCAAATCTCCCCGAAAAGTTTGAAAGAGTTTGTTCGAATTGCTGGGAGATGTTTGCACAACAAGCAAAAGGAGCGTCCTACAATGGCTGAGGTTTTGTTCAGTCTTGAGTCTCTAATGACCATACAACAGAAAATGAATAGTCCGTTGCAACCTTCACACAGAACAATACTTGGTAGAATGGTTGACAAGTTGACCTTCACCTCCAACATAGAGAACTCTGGTATTTTTACCTCCTATTGAGTTGTGTGTACAAATTCTTTAAATTACTTCCCATCTATCTTTCCATATATTGAAACTATCTTTCCATATATTGAAACATTAATGAAAATATAAAAAGACCATCTCCCAATATGAGAAAACAAAAGATTCCTTACGCCTTAAAGCATATTGATGTTGATTTTTCTAAGGATGTAATTGTTTGTAGGTAAAGAAAGATTGCTGAATAATTGTTTATGGCTTTCATATCTGATATTTGTCCCGAGTTTTTGAGGATAAAACTATTTAGTTAGAGTGTTTGAAAAAAATATTAAGCAACAACATCATACTTTTTAGTTTCTCTCCATGTAAATTAACCGAAACAAAAAGCTTATTAAAATATTTGACAAACGGATATTTTAAGTTTGCATGATCAGTGATATGTCGTCAACCTGACAAACAATATCTTTTTAATTACTTCACAATCCCACCTTTTAACGTCTTGCTCTCGCTAAACTACAAACACAGTATCAGTGAGAAGCATTCACCATGGTACAGTATAGTGGATGTCATCCATGTTTTACAACGATCTGTAGAATGAAAACAAATTGATTTTTCAAGACCTTATTCTGAACAACTTCGCTCAAAAACTTGTATCCTTGGTTTAATTGTATTCCTCTCAAGCTTGATAAATTTATAATTCCCAAAGTTTTGAGTATCCATGTGTTCTTGTAGTCTGGACCATGGTATTGTTCTTCAATTAAGAGAGCATCAGTATCTTCAAGACAGCATTAACTAAAGCTGTGATTCATACAATCACTTAGGTCGGGGTTGGTCTTGAGTCTGTACTCACCTTATATGAAAAATGAATTGTTTGTTGCTATCTGCAGGCAAAAGAATATTTGGTAGAACGGCTGTCTCTGTCACAGAGCGCTCATACCCATGCCGTAAGTTCAAATTTCCTGAGATTCTCTTAGCAACCAATAACTTTGACGAATCATTAGTAATTGAGCATCGAGGGTCTAGAAAAGTTTACAAAGGTCTTATTGTCAGTGAACCAAGTCTTGTCGTTGCTTCCATTAAGCGGTTGGATTCCATGTCAAGTCAAGGGGCATCAGAGTTTTGGGCGGAAGTTGAACTGCTTTCCAGGTTGCGTCACAGTCATCTTGTGTCTTTGTTTGGTTATTGTAATCATGAAAATGAAATGATTCTTGTATATGAATATATGCCCAATGGAACACTCGAAGATCACCTCCATAAATTTGGTACCCATCTTTCATGGCTTCAACGTCTCAAGATCTGCATAGGTGCAGCTCGTGGGTTAGACTATCTTCACACTGGTACAGGGATTGATTTTGGGGTTATACATCGTGATGTCAAGAGCTCCAATATTTTGCTACATGAAAGTTGGGCAGCTAAAATTTCAGATTTTGGCTTGTGCAAAATAGTTGCAACGAATCAGCCATCAACTAATGATGATTTTACTTATGTCAGCACATCTGTTACAGGCACTTTGGGGTATATAGATCCAGAGTATGTCATGAGTGGTAGGCTGACAAGGAAGTCTGATGTTTATTCTTTTGGTGTGGTATTGTTGGAAGTGCTCTGTCGGAGGCCTGGCATTATTAGAGATCATGACTCAAAGATAAGTACTTTAGTACGATTGGCTCGGGACTTTATCGAACAGGATAGTCTAAATCAGATAATTGATTTAGGTATAAGGGATCAAATATCCCCAAATTGTTTGAAGAAGTTTGTTCAAATTGTTGAGGGATGTTTGCATTTCGAATCAAAGAAGCGTCCAACGATGGCTGATGTTGTATTGGATCTTGAGTCTGTATTGACTATACAAGAGGAAACAAATAGTTTATTGCAGCCGCATGCAGAACAATGATTTGTGGAATACTGGAATGGTTGATAACAAAAGAGCTGACCCTCAAAGAAAAGATAAGAATGCCATACTCAGGTATTTCAAGCTATCCTATTGAATTGCTTGTATCCATCTCTGCATATATCAGCAGAACGTTAATGAAAACATAAGAATGGCATCTCCATTGTCATAAAACTGGAGTACTTATGCATTAAAGATAATTTATGTTGAGTTGTCTACGGATGTGATAGAATGTAGTTTAAGAATGTTTGTTGAATAATTATTTATGGCTTTCAAAACTGTCCCTGGATTCTACAACAAAAGTTTATAGAGGATAATTATTAGAACAAATGTGAAAAAGGTTTAGCAATAACTTCATACCATTTACCTTCTTCCAATGAGATCCTACTCAAAAAGGTTATTTTGTCTCACATGACGGACATTGTATCTCTTTCTCTTAACCCAAATTAAAAATATCTATTATCATCAATGTTGTGTCCACTGTCACTTTTCTTGCGAATTCAGATGCCACCGAATGGCCTCGTAATATCTTCAAACTAATTAACTTATTCAAAGCTCTTTATTTTGGTACATATACGGATATACACTTCCTCTGCGGGAAATATACATGTATGATCCTATTGTTGAAATGATTAATAGAGGTCTTTGCATTCTTAGTCCGTTCACTTTACTGAATCCTTGTGGGCGGATATTGAAACCATATGCAAATTTGATACAATACAACTTTTGGAATGTACATTTGGGAAATACTTTTAGATTCAATTAGGGATTTCAAACTTTGCGCGTACCTTTTTAGTAAAGGAGACCAATTTGAATCATCAATCTGAGAATGGTTAGGTCGACTTAGAATTTTACAATTCGGAAATTATATACCTTTACAACAAGAAAAACTCTCATAAACCCAAATATAATATTGCAATAAGATTGAGCTATCTAATGTAGGTAATCATTACTAAAAGACTTCTAACGAATGCTCGTTGATTTACATTAATGTTTACGTCATTTACATAAGTTGTAAATACGATTAAGATCTTTACATAAGCTGGGTAAATATTCAGTTGTATCTTCCACGAATACAAGTCTTTACCACACATTTAATACTTTGAAGATGTTGGTGGATGGTGACCCTTTATGGTGGTTCATATTTCATATTTGCCTAGACCAATACCAAAGAGTTCCGAACACAAACTTTGATGCGTGAGGAGCTGCTACTTGTAATTAGATTAAAAAAAAAAAGGAAGATGTTGCTGAACTTGGAAACATAGAGTGTAAAGTAGAAAATAATTTAGTTGATTAGAAGAAAAAAGAAATCGGACAAAAATCTGATGAACACAGCGATTTGTGATTTGCTCTGACCTCCATAGTTGCAGGACGCACGTCATTTGTAAAGCAAAGATTTATTTATTTATTTTAATTTCTACTTCGTTCTTAAAATCGAACGATATGCAGAGTCGCCTCCTTTTGGTCCTCGACTCTCCGCTGCCTCCAAATACCCAAAAAGCAGGCATCTGCAATCACGTATTTGTATTGGGCTGACTTTAATTATGTTGGGCTAATTCATTAGATTCAACTTACTGGATTAATCTATTAGATTTGTATTAGAAATAGTCAAACACTATTGGGGTGATTTATTTAAATTGTTGGATTATGGTTTACTTAATTTAATAAGGTTTTATTTATTTATTTATTTTTTTTTTATTTTTTTTTTTATGTATGAGATAGAACCCATAACATCCATGTGAATAACTCATTAGCCAAGTGGGCTAGCCAATCTTAATTTAATAAGTTATTTGAATTGATTATTTGTATTTATAGGTTCTATTATGATAATCTTGTTGTAAGTTAGTTTATTATTTTCATATTGTTAGCTTGTTTGTTTAATTTTAATGAGTTTGTTCTTAGAAATTTATTTTTAAAAAAACATCATAAATGGTCTCTGTGGTTTTCCCAGATCTGAAGTTTAGTCCCCGTGGTTTAAAAACATCACAGATGGTCCTTGTGCTTTCAAAACTTTTGACGATTGGTCCTTATTGTTAACTCCGTTAAGTTTTTTATGTTAACTGAAGGGCGTTTTGGGTTATTTCACTACCACAAGGACCATTTATGATGTTTTTGGTTATTTAAAAACAATTAAATATATATACTCTCTCTCTCTCTCTCTCTCTCTCTCTCTCTCTCTCTCTCTCTCTCTCTCTCTCTCTCTCTCTCTCTCCCAATAATCCCACCAAAAATGTCGGCATTTCATATTTTCCTATGAAATCCTCCACCTCTAGTTGTTTGCTTGTCCCAAAAAATCAAGAACATAATCGTATATTGTTGCATCTTTAAAATCGTGTTCATCCTAATACAAATATCGAAACCTTCATCCCCACCCCCTTATCTTCCACTTCTCCGGTGGCATGCCACCATCTTCATCATCGTCATGTAGCTTGTTTATACACCAGCAGAAAAAAAAAACTCCAAAAACCTATTGCACCCTACCCTTTAAACCCCGAAAACCCCCATCTCTGGTGCTAGAAGCTGCTAGGGTTCCAATTATATTCCGACAACCATAAACGAACATGTACAAAACGGTTTTTGAGTATGAAGACCCCCATCTCTGACGTTACATCTGTGTGTGTTATGATGTTGAAATTGATTCTAGAACCCTAAAATCAGAACTCAAATCGATTCCAGAACCCGGTCCAACTAAAGCATCCACCTGTACCGTTGTCGCCTCCACTGACCGGTTGTAACATCCCTGTCGACCACCCCTTGTCACTGCTCTCACTTCTGTTTCTCAATTTCAGTCCTCCATCAAAATCCCACGGAGGGAAATGGATTTCCCATGTTGCTTCGCATCCATCTTCGTTGGTGAAGAGGCCGAGTCTCGTTCCCCTTATGTATTCGATTACAAGCAAGACCGGTATAAGCAGGCATTAAAGAAAGTCGATTTCTTGCTCATTTTATTTTCTTTAGTTCTCGCATCTGGTTCTGAGGTTGATTGTAACCAATAAACTTTAGGCTACAAAAAATTTCAGATATCTTCATTTCCATGATCATTATTTGGAACTTTCTTGGTTCGTGGGAGGAGGAGAAATCAGGGCCGATAGTGATTAAGGAGTAATATGTTCATCTGACCACTGAAATTTCAAATTGCCATTGACAGGAAGAAATGGTTTATGAACATGGTTTGATGAACATTTGGGGAAGGAATCGAGTTGTTGAGTTGAGAGAGAGAGAGAGAGAGAAATTATTTATTTAATTTTTTTTTAAATAACCAAAAACATCATAAATGGTCTTGTGCAGTGAAATGACCAAAATGCCATCCATTTAACGGACAAAACTTAACGGGGTTAGCAATAAGGACCAATCGTCAAAAGTTTTGAAAGCACAGGGACCATCTATGATGTTTCTAAACCACGGGGACTAAACTTCAGATCTCGGGAAACCACAGGGACCATTTATGATGTTTTTTCTTTATTTTTTGTTCGAGCAAAAGATGGTTTGGAGTTTTGATTATGAGATATAATCAATAACAACCTAAATAAATATTTTTAAAGCTTAAAATAAAGTTATTCGTCCACTATAAAAAAGAGAACTGATTTTTCCACCGGATATTTTTATCAATCCACTAGAATTTATCTGTATTCCCAATTATGCCCTTCAATTAAGTTTTTTAGCTATTAAAATGGAGAAAAAGATTAAAGGATATGTTTCCAAACGACCCACACTCCTTCTTTATTTTCGCTTTCTTATCAGGGCACCTTCTTCATCAGCCCACTCTCAAATGGTAAGTGATTCTAATTCTATGATTCACTTAAAACCATGTGTATGCGTATAAAGTTTCAATCTCTGATTCTCAATCACTATCATTGTTATTATCAATTCTCAAGCACCGTCATTGTTATGTGAATGCTTTGTCAAAGTTTTTTAACAATTAAACATATTGATTTTCTATGTGTGCATATGATTCTTAGATTCTCTGTACAAACATATGAATTGTGAGAGTTTTTAATCGTATGAATCATCAATTCTCTTAATCTCTTATTCTTTAATTGGTATGCGGCAAGAGCTTCATAGTCATTGTAACAACCCGTTATTTCATATCAATGTAAATCTAAACTACAATAGTATGCAAATGATTTAACATCATAACATCTATACCGTAAGAACTTTGAATACTATAGGGCATGTCTATATAAGTTATTGTATAAACATACATTGAAAACCATACTCCTATGAATTATATATATAATGAAACATATATTGATGTAAGTTAGAATTTAAATAAAGGAGCTTAAACTTAACTTAAACTATGAAAATATAATGTGTATATAGGTGTAAGGTTTAGGGAATATTATCCCAAAAACCAACCGTGAACACTCTTTCAAATGAGAAGCTAAAACCGTGAACACCCTTTGAATAAAGAAGCAAAACCGTGAACACCCCATTCAAGAAACTCTTGGCCGTGAACACCTCATTCAAGACACCCTTGGCCGTGAACATGCTTCTAGAATCACCATTGACCGTGAACCCTTTTACACATTGACCATAAGGCCGTAAACCTTTCACCATTTGATGTCTAGGCCGTAAACACTTCATTTTGGAAGTGTATAACCGTAAACTCTCATCAAATATCTTCATAATCTTATCCAAAGTTAATTTCCCAATGTGATTACACCGTAAACCTTACATTCACCACCTTAGGAGTATCCTTAATACTTAAGGAACAAATGAAATCATTTGTCACATACAGTAAACATAATTCACTCATATACTCTCAAAACACATATCAAAGTTCTTTGTATCTGCAAACAGCTACCCAGAAACCTTCAAACTTTCATAAGAACTTCTTCACAATTTGTAAGTAGTTTATACAATTTAGTGTCTATTATCATGTTAAATTAATAGTTAGCTAATTTATACATATAATTATGTGTGTAACTATTATTAAGATATGTTTATAACTGCGTGTTCTAAGCAAAGGATCATCACAACCACATCGTAACCAACCAGGAACTCACACACAAGGCGAGTTCATACCCCTGTGTTTTTACTATTTTTCACTGTTTTAGAGGGGGGATACAAGTTTAACACAAGACTATTCGGTTTACA